CGTGCAGAGGGAGGTCCCCTCGCCACTCTGGACGTCAGGCTCGTCCTGAGCAGTAAAGGCAGGAAGATGCTCGTGAGGAGCAGCTAAGCCAATGGACATAAACGGGGATTATAAGCCAGAAAGTTCTCTGCATCTGGTATTTATCGATATCGTTTTAGTTATTCAACTTTTGGCTGAGCTAAGAGGCCCACATGTGAGCTCAGAGGCTTTGAAGCCGCAGGCTGTGCTGGAGTTTTGCTCCAGCTTCCCCTGGGTGGGGGACCTGAGCGAGCAACGCCTCCCCTGCTCTCTTGCCCTTCCTCCCCCAGGGCACCCCCACCCCGGCCTCCCCAGGTGCGCACAGGTGCAGCGCGGGTGTGCAGGCATCCTGCTGGGCGCCTCGGCCCCCGCACCCCCGCCCCTCAGCTTCAGACACCCACAGGGCTCGGCCCCGACCCCCGAGTCCTGGAATGAATCTGGTTCACGGAAAGCACTTTCTGTCTGCAGCATGACTATTTTGCAAACGCAAAGAGATGCTCCCGTGATTTCGATCATTAAAATTCATTTAAGAGTGTTTCTTGTGTTTGCAGCAGCCTCTAGTCATTCTGGAACTCTCAATCAACAGATCTAAAAACACAGCCACTACCCACTGGAAGGTTGGTGATTTTTTTTTTTTTGCTATTAAAAGGGGGTCCTTCTCCTTGGGTGGGGGCTGGGCAGGCACCGAGAACCGAATGTCTGCCCACTTGTCTGTTATTTCCCTATATAAAAATGGCTGGATGGATTTTTTACCAAGCGCACAGGGTAGATTTGGAATAGTCTGACTTAGGATATAAACCATGTAGCGTTCATAAAATTTCCGAGTGGGGAGAACCCTAGGGGAAACCCAGTTAGAACAAGCAGGGAGGGACAGCCAGTTTGGAGAACTGGGCTGACTGCGTCAAGATGCTGAGGACAGAGAAATCCCCAGTGGTTTGAAATGCACGCTCCAGGCGAGCTCAGGGCTGCTTGGTGTGGAGCTGTGTCCACACGGCCAGGACAGGGGGAGGAGGAGGGTGCAGGGACAAAGTACTCTAAGGATGGCGCGACGGCCCTGGGAACGCACATCCCTTGGGGTGCCCGGGCAGCTCCAGCCCCGCCGCACCTCCTTCGGCTTCACGGTGAGCGGGCACACCTCCCGTGTCTGGTCCATGTGGCACAGGTCCCGCAAGCCGTAGCCATTGACGCAGTAGGCGTCGTAGCCGGAGCCGATGAGCAGGGAGCAGAGCAGCGTGCTGAAGTCGAAGCAGTTGCCCTTCTGGTACTTGAGCACCGTGGTCGAGGAGTACAGGGACGAGGGCTGGCCGCCGCGGGCTGGTCAGCACGGCCGGCCCCCGCAGCCCCCGCCCGTCCTCACCATCCTCACCACAGCCCACCTGTCCGGGGCGGGGGGCCGGGGCAACGTGCAGGCTGGACCTCCAGAGGGCTCCTAATCCCTACCGGGTCAGGGACAGGCTAAGAATGGGACGACGACCAGACCCCGCACAATCCACATTTGCCTAGAATATTAAGGGGCTCGTGGACTTCCTGACAGGGAAGACTGTCTGGACTGTAGAAGCTTCTGGTCTGATGCCCTCTGATGGGTCGCTTTATTCTTTTGCTCCAACATTTGCCTTTTCTTCCAGCCCCCATCCTTTCCTTCTCCGCCCTGCCTCCCTCCTGGGTGAGAAGCTGACGGAGATGGCCCGAAGACTGAAGATGGGCAGCCAGGCCCTCCCTCTCTCCTTCCTGCACCCCTTGAAGCTGCGGAGGGGAGCCTTCGACGGCAGAAACAGGTAAAGGAGGGAAAGAGGTGGGACCAGAAGCCCAGGCTTGCTGTGTGTCCTCAGGCAAGTGGCTGTCTCTCTCTGGGCCTGTTTCCCGCTAGAGGGTCTCTGAGGGGCTGTGGCTGGACCGTGCCTGGCTTCGCATCTTGTGCTTAACGGGCCTAAGGACGCAGCCTGAGTGGCACTCACCGGCCTGAGGGGGTTTGGCAGGGGCACCATGGTGAGGAAGTCGGAGACGAACTGGGCGCAGCCATCCCAGTTGTAGAGGTCGGGGTAGGGCAGGAGGGTGGGCCGGATGGTCGTGCTCACGAACTTCTGCGAGGGGAGAGATCGCGCCGGCGGGGCCACCTTCAGTAGGGACCCGTGAGATCCGGTGCCTGGTAGGGCTTCCCTCATACCCACAGTGAGCTCCTGGGGGCCTGAGCCAATGCAGAAGGCTGGACTCATGCACCCTGGGGTGGCAGAGCAGCCGCTGGCCGGCCAGGCGACGCCCAGGTCTGGCACGTGGCGGCAATCGAGGGAGCACTGGCAATGCCTGGGAGGCCCCCTTGCACCACCGGCGCCCAGAGATGGCACCAGCACATCTGGATCTGGGCTGGAACAGCCTTGAGGGCTCCCTTCCTCTAACCCCAGGGCACTAGCAGGGAACCTGAGGCCCAGAGAGGCCTAGAGAGCTGCCCAAGATGACCCAGCAAGTCAGGGCCGAATGAGATCAGGTCTCCTGTTTCCTAGGCTTCCTCGGAGCTCTGTGGTCTCCTCCCGGGGGTGATGCCCCCCAGGGCCTAAGAGGTTCTGGCCGGGCCCAGCTGATGGCCGGTGCGGTCTCCAGCCCCAGAGTCTGGCCCTGTCCAGGGAAGGACCAGGGCAGGCCCCAGGACCTGAGCACTGGCTTCTTCCTTCCAGCCCATGGCCCAGAACACGTCCCTGTGTTTCCCCATCTATAGACGGACTATCATGGGATTCATCCAAAGGTTGCAAAACAGCAGCCCGTAGGCTGACAGGGACCCACAGACCTGTTTTATTTGGCCCAGTGATGACGTTTAGCATTTGTGTCAGCTGCCAGCATTTAAAAACTAGGGATTGTCACACAAATCCTGAGTCCCTTCTTTTGCTCTGGTAACGCCAGGTCTGCATTTTCCCTGCAGCCATCAGCGGCTGCCTCTTTAGGGGGGTCTCAGGACACCGCAGCAATCCAGGGGTGATTCACACAAAGCCTGCTGGCATCCGAGTTTATGCGGTCCCTGGACTAGACGCTCTGAACCACGAGAGGTCTGGGATTCGGCCCAGAGACCTTGGAGAAACAGCCCCACCTCCCTGTGCCGTCTGTTCTCCAGCCCCCATCCCCACCCCTGCCCTCCACGTCCCGGCCTTACAGGTACTTCACACTCGTTCAGGGGGTACAAGAAGAGGGGCACGCGGTCCGGGCACAGGTGGCTGTACTGGCGGGAGAAGTCGTCTGCCACCTGCAGCAGGTGTTCCTCCTTGGGTGTGTTGGTTTTGTAGGAAAGGGGCAGGCTAGAGATGTCGATGGTGTCCTTGGTAATGACCCTGTGCCACAATAGGGGTGGCGTTAGCCCCAGTGACGCTATGCCCGGCACACGGGAACCCTGGACCCAATCTGAGCTGCCCTTGGCCCCGCCCCGTCCTCATTTAATCCGCACAACCCCCTAGGAGGCAGGTGTCTTTATTATCACCTGCACTTTTAAACGGATAAGGGCGCTGAGGCACAGAGAGGTTGAGTGACTTGCCCAAGGTCACACAGCTAGTGAGGGGCAGAGTGGGGACTCGGCACAGGCGGTCTGAAAGCGGAGCCCTCACTCTTAACCGACTCCCTCTACGTCCTGGTCCCCCTGCCAGCCACCGCTCAGCCTGGTTCTTCCTGTGCCCACCCCTGGTCTGCCCTCGCCAGGGCCGCTGGGCCCTAAGCCCCCGCCCCTCACACTCACGGGGGCTCCTCTGAGGCCGGGGTCTCGATCTCCGAAAGCTTCTTCTCCAGGTCTCTGAGCATCTCCGGGGTCAGGGGGGCTTCCTCCGTCCGCACCTCGACCGGCCGCATCGTTTTCTCAGCCCGCTCCGCCCGCTCAGCCGCCTCCTCGCGCTCGGCCTCCTCCTCCTCCTCCACTTTCTCCCTCAAGACTTCCATGCCGGCGGCTCCGGCTGTCGGGAGCCCTAGCGTCTCTGCGGGGAAGGAGAAATGTACCCGGCATGGTCGGCGGTCGGGCCAGGCAGGAGCGGCCAAGGCCGCCTGTGCGTCCCTGGGCGGCCGGGAGGTGGGTTGCGGTGGTTCCGGTCACGTGGAGAGGAAGCGACTCCCCCTGAAACTTCCTTCCAATCAAGGAGAAAGTCTCGCTGCTGGAGCACCTGTAACACCTTCCTAACGCTTGCACGTGTCCCTTCGCAACAGAGACGACACAGCTGCAGGCCTCGGGCTGGGAGCCGTTTCCAGGGCAGGCGCAGGTGTCGCTGTGCCTTAGTGTGTTTATTTTGACAGCCGTCTTCCCTTTTGGGCAGGCGATGCTCCTGCTGTAGGGACGACTGCCGTGTTATAAAGTTTCCTATTTATGTAAGTGAATTCGCTGAAAGGAAATCATTCCTGCTAGTAAGGTGATGCAGAATAGGTCACAAAAAAATAAAGGTGCCAGATGAATGACATCTCATCTGACCCAGCTGGCCACTGAGGCACAGAGAGTGAGAGGGCAGGGCTGTCGCCGAGGCACTCGGACAGGGTGGGTCAAGCCCTGTGTCAGCCTAGGGGACAGGCATCGTTCTGAGAGCCACATGAGATGCCACAGCATGAAGCCTCGCTGAGTTAGACTGCTTGTCACCTGCCCAAAGATCCAGCCCCACTTCCGGGCAGCAGAAGCCCAATTTTACAGAGGGGCAGCAGAGTGCCGGTTTGCAATGTTCAGGATCCCAGACTCTCTTGCAGCTAGAGGTAGCCCTGTGGTGTGACCCGGTTGTGGCCGCTGAGACGTGGCCCTTTGCCCTTCTCTGCCTGCCTGGAACACGGACATAAAGAGGGATATGGGGCGGCCAAGGCAAGACTGTGAAGTGACCACACATGAGGGCCAAGCTGCCTGCGAACGGTGGCAGGGCAGAGAGACAAGGGAGCTGGGGTCCCCAGCGGTGCCACAGCATCCCGGAACGCCACCGCCAGCCTTTCACTGTATAAGAAAACTCAGCCCCTACTTGGGTCCCTGTCACAAGCTGCCCAGTGTCACTCCAGCTGATCCCCAGTCTGTAGCCCCCAGCTCAGCATTAGCCGACCTCAAATACCTATTTTCTTTACAGCAAACAGGGCGAAGTTCCAGAGAGGAGGAAAACCGACCCGACCTACAGGATTGGGGTGGGGGGCAAGTAGTGGGGAGAGAAGAAAAGAGTCTCCCCAGCTTTGTCGTCACCCCCCCAGGGTTAAGCCATGACCAAGAGGGCAAAGGGGACCAGGAGGTAAAGGCTGGCCGCACCTCCCCACTCCACACCCCTGTTTGGGCTGCCTCGACCTCCCGGGGAGAGGAGTCACAGGCCACCAGCCAGGACCAAGCCAGGTTGGGGGAAACCGTGGCTCTGCCAATAGCTCCACTCTCTGCCCCTTTCTGGGCCTCAGTTTCCCCTTCTACGATGTGAAGGGAGGGACAGATATTTTCTGTTCAGTTCTGACATTCTGTGCTCTAGGAGGGGCAGTATGCTCCTGTTGCTGGAGGTCAGCCCACCCACGTCCCAGGTGGGCCAACACCATTCAGGGCCCCGGTTCCCCAGGGGCAAACCTCTAGCCAAGCAGCACTGCCTGGTTATCAGATCTGTTTGTCTGCCTCCTGGACCCAGGCAGGATGAGCCCAGGGAGGGCAGTAATAACTATAACAAGGAACTTATAGTTTACTGAACACCTACTGTGTGCCAGGCCCTGTGCTAAGGGTTGTGCAGAGATCATCTCATTTATCCTCTAAGGACTCTATAAGGCAGACACTTATGGTACCCACTTTGCAGATGAGAAGATTAAGGCCTAGAGAGGTTAAGTGAACTGTCTAAGGTCACAGCTGGTATGTGGCAGATCTGGGATTTGAACCTATATACTTCTGGTCCTCAAACCCATGTGTCTCCGGGCCTAATGAGAGGGGAAAGTCCTAGAAGGGATTGGGGGGGAGTAGTGAGCAAGGAAAGACATAGGTTGGAGGGAAGGCCAGGGTGTCAGGGGCAGCAGGGGTTACCACCGAGGCAGGCGCTGAGATGGGGCCCTGAGCCCAAGGCTGCAGACACCTTCAGAGGCTGAGATGGGGAGAATCTGCAACCCTTTATCCCCACACGCACAGCTGGGGTCCAGCATATGGAGGACAGGCCTGTTTCAAGGTTCCCTGGACCCTGCCCCCACCCCCTTCCCTGAACCCCCTCCCCAGCAGCAACCTCCTCCTCCCACCACACACACACACACACACACACACACACAAACTCTCAGAAAGATCAGGGCTGGGGCCCCCCAGGCAGATTCTTCAGGCCAACCCTTTATCCCCACACGCACAGCTGGGGTCCAGCATATGGAGGACAGGCCTGTTTCAAGGTTCCCTGGACCCTGCCCCCACCCCCTTCCCTGAACCCCCCCCCCAGCAGCAACCTCCTCCTCCCACCACACACACACACACACACACACACACACACAAACTTCCCCAGAAAGATCAGGGCTGGGGCCCCCCAGGCAGAAGCAGTCTCCTTCCCCCACTAGCCTCCCCCTCCCCCTGCAGGACAGTGTCCAGCCACCCCCAGTCCCATCCCCTGCTCCCTCCTCACCCCTCCGAGGACAGCCTGTCCTATCTGTTAGCCATCTCCATGGTAACAGCTTTGGAAGCTGGGAGCAGGTCCCCAAGGGAGGAGGCTTCTGGGAAATGTAGTCTTCTGGGACTGTTCGGGTCCCCGTGCCTGTGGTGTGCTGGTCTAGCGGTGCCGCAGCTTGAGAGAGCTGGTGGTTAAACTTTCGGGGATTTTTGTGAGCCAGTTGTCAAACACAGCCATGATTAAAAATTAAATGATAAAACCTATGTAAATAATTCTATTAAAAACAAAAGTAATAAATACTCAAAACCCATCACTAATTATTTTACTATATTTTACCATCATCTATGCTCTTCAAGTGATTTATGCTTATTGTCTCAGTACAATGGAAATACTAGATACGGGGCTGAGGGGGTACTTTGCATCTCTTCCCAAGTTCCGTTCAGTGAGGTCCAATAGCTTAAAAGTGGCCATGGGGTTATTTACACCACAGGAATTGGCAGATGCTACAGGCAGGGCTTTTTCTCCCAGCGAGCCAGTTGTTAAACATTTGCCAGCCTGCCACAGCCCCTGCCCCACTGCGTGGTGAGTGTAGCCTTCATCAAGATGGACAGACACCAGAGCAGCGCCTGGGGTAGCTGTCTGCCTTGGTAGACAGAGCCGGGCTGCCTTACTGAGTGCTGGGTTCCAGTCCTCTGAGTTCGTAGATAACCTCGAAGGAAAGGGAAAACCTATGTGTTAGGCTAGTGGCCTACAAAGGCATCCAATTTTATTGAGGATAGAGTATCCTACCATAGTATATTCTAGTAGGCCAGGGCGATTGTGAGAACTCCGCAACAGAGCGCCACTGTGCATGTTATCTTTTTCAGAGCCAAGCCTATAAAAAGTAGCCTGTGTACTTTTTAAAACCACAATGTAACTTTTTCTGTCCACAAAAACTGGTCACATGGCTCAACTGCTGCAGTGTCCACACCCCAGGTTTCCTTTCCAGGGAGGAAGCGAAGGCCCTCCTTCCTGTCTTTCGACTGTTTGGGGGTGGGAGGAGAAGCGCGGAGCATCCACTCCCAACATGGGCACCGGCATCTGGAGGGGAGGGAGGCTGAGACCGCAGCTTTGCGGGCTGTCGGGGAGGATCCAGCAATCACAATAACTTCTCTCCTGCAGAAAGTGCTCGACAGTCCACAAGGCACCCTGGAAAGCTGGAGAGGGGTGGGGGCTGGATAGGGAGGGTGGTAGGTGAGTTAAGGCTGGAGTGGGGGATGAGCTTGTGGCATGAGGCCCCGGGGAGAGGACCGATGTCCACACCCACTGCTCCCCTGGGTGGGGCGTGAGGACAGGGGGTGCCGTCTCTGCATCTGTCTCTTTCTGCCTCTGTCCTCTCCTCGCGTCAGCCTGTCTGCTAAATCTCTCTCTCCATCTATGTTTGTATCTCCACCTCGATCTCTATTATCTCTCCCCCTTTTTGTTTCCTACTGAGGAAGCTGCGTGCGGTTGCGAAATGGAGGCCCCACTACTAGAAGCTCCATGCCCAACCGGGTCTGGCCAGAGACACTACCTTGTTTCGGGGCCCTGCCAGGCTGGGGCCAAACTCAGACAGCCATTCATTCAGCCAACAAATATTTATTCAGGGCTTGCCGGGTGCAGGGCCCTGTGCTTGGCTGGGCTGGAACGGCGAGTGAGGCCATTCGGGTCTCTGCTCTGTAGGAGCTCAGACTCTGGTGGAAACGCCCGGCCTCTGCTCCGAGAGCCCTCACCCCCACCCTCGCCCCTTGGCCCCACACCCCAGGTGCTCAGAGCCCTGGACCATTTGTGTTCTCCCTCCTCGAGGACAGCAGATCGCAGGTTGGGCCACCGATGTGGCAGTCAGAGCGGGCAGTAAGGTCTTGCTCGAGGTAGTGCACCCACTACGTGGTGTTCTCTGAGAGTCTATGTCCCCAGACACCTGGGGGGCTGGCAGCACACTGAATGGAGGGGTCTCTTCCGTGAGGATGGGCTCTGATGGGATGGGCAGAAACCAGAGGCAGGCTGCCCCCCAGTGCTGGAAGGACGATGACCTCCTGAATGCCCCTAAAGAGTACAGGCAGTGGGAGGGTGCAGTTGTGGGAGGGCAGTGACAGGGGGAGGAGGGAAGAGGGAGGAGCTGGGGGCTCCCCTAAGAGGCTGTACCAACAACAGACAGCCCTCTTTGGGCTCAGGCCCTCGCCGAGACCAGAAGATGGGTGAGGGAGAGAAGAGCTGCTTTGCTACGAGGGCAGAACGTGGGGGTGAAGATGTCGTGCTTTGCTGGCGGGGGGTCTCAGGGCTGCAGGAACTTCAGCCTCCTGCAAACCTGCGTGTGTGGACTCTCGGACCCACGGACAGACCTGGAGCAGACCTCTGAGGCCACATGGTCCAACCTGGTCACCATTTCTTCCCTCCCCAGCCACACTGTACAGAGAAGGAAACCAAGGCTCCGGGGGACACAGGAAGCCGCCCAAGGTCCCACAGAGCATCGGAGCTGAGTCCAAAGTGCAGGGCTGTGTCGTCCTATTCGTGAGACACGGAGTGGGTCTGGTCCACTCTGGCAGTGCCGGAAGAGGAGGCTGCGGTGCTCTGACTTGGGAAGTAGAGGATGGAGAACCAGCAGAAGATGAAGACACCTGTCAGGGAGGAGAGGAGAAATGGCGCCACGGTAACCGCTCAAGTACTTCTGAAAAAGTCAGACAAAAATGAAACCTACCCCTGCGAAAGAACCAAATAGAAATCTTGGAAATGAAAAACAGAGATCTTGAAGTAAAATCTATACATACATCCATCACAGAAAAGAAAAAGTAAAATAAAGGAACTTTCTGACGTACAAAACAACCACCAGCTCTATAGAGGGTTACTGCAGGATGCGCTTCAGCAAGAAGAAAAGGGAAAGTATGGAGTACAAGAAATTCTAGTAAGTACAGAAAGTGACTGAGAAATAAAAACTTCGTGTGTGTTTCAGGAAAATTTATAGCTAGAACTCTATATAACAATAAAAATATCGCGAAGAGTTCAGTGGGCAGTAAAAGTGTACCAAGGGCTCTGTTGTCTTGGGAGGAAGATAGAAATACTGAATAACTCAGGCTCAGCTGAAACTTAACTCAGAGTGAAGTGTGCAGGCTTAAATATTCAGGTAACCTCTGAAAGACCAGCGATCCAATCTACAGTTTCAAGGTGCATCTCTCCCCAGCCCTTAACCCCTGGGATGATCCAGACATGGACTTATGATTCTTCAGCTGGGGACAATCTCAGATGGTCTAATAGTGAAGTTTCTATTGTTACTAATATAGTTCCCACATACTGAAGACTACCAGGTCCACACGTGCCTTACCACAGCTGTTCATCGTGAAATCTGGTGAGCTAAGTACTGGGGTGATCTGGACTTTAGAGTGAGGATCGGAAGAGGTGTGTTTGGGGGTGGAGCTGGAATTTGGGCCCAGGGCTGTCTGGCCCCAACCACTAAGCCACCCAGCGTCCTTGAGCACTGATCTTGTGGGCTTGCCCCCACTGTGTCTAGGATGCCTGGGTTCCCAGTGACTCCTCTGGTGGCATGAGCCTTGTCACTCCCTTCTTGGCTGTTAACCTCACAGGCAGGCTGTGACACCTCTTTGCCCTGTGGGTGTGAATGGGGTGTGAGGAGCTAAGAGAGAGGAAATTGGGACCCATGCCCTGGGCCTCTCCTCCTTTGCTGGGGTCTCAGAGGAAGGACCCTGTGGGGGCAGGTGACAGCCATAGCGATCACTTCCTTCCTGCTTCCATAGCTCCTTGGAGACTCCTTCTGTGGACATCAAATCACCTGACCCTGACTCCTGGTCACAGCTGATGGGACCAAGAGGGGCCCTTGACTTGGAATTGGAAGTTCACATAGGGTGAAGGGGGCCCCGTTGGGCAGCCACTCAGGGCCCTGGGGAGTGACGGGCAAGCAGAGAGAGTAAAACAAAGGAGCTTCCACAACGAGATGAGAGACACACATAGCTCCAGAGAGAAAGATGAGGAAAGGATTTGCTTTGGTTTGGGTGGCTTTTCCCGGTCCCGGTGGCATCTCTCACGAATGCAGCCGCCCTTGCTGCCCGGGGTCGCTGAGAGAGCCCTGGATGTTTAAAATCCATACACTTGGTCTGAGCGGGCCGGGTGGAAGCCTGTTTCTTGCAAACCGCCCTCCCCCTGCCCCCTCCCCCAGCGCAGACAGGGCAGCCGCCGGCCCCCTGGCCCCGCCTCACCTTGCAGGGAGTTGAGGAAGGTGAAGATGTAGATGGTGGACAGGCCCAGGGGCGTGAGGACCGCCAGCCCCCACGTCACGCCCACCAGGCTCGAGAGGCCCAGCACCGTGAGCACCCCTTTCCGGTTCTGCCTCTGCTCCTTGCCCGCCCTGGCACTCGACAGGGTGAAGATCTTCCAGGCCACCAGGGCCAGGACGACAGCGCTGAAGAGGAAAGTGGTGAAGAAGTAGCCGTGGACGGTGGCGTAGAGGGCGTGGACGGCCGTTCCTTCACGGAACCAGCACCTGGAGGAGGTGGGTGGCCCATGACCAGCACGCCCCACAAAGTCCCCCCGGGTGACCTTTAGTGACCTCCTCCCATTTCTGCCCTTCCGTCCCCTGCTCTCCTGCTGGACAGGGGCCATCGACAGGCTCCATTCTGCTGTCTCTTCAGACTTGTGGTGCAAAAGGGCCAAAGTGACCCCAAGGACATGTTTCACTTGCTCCGCATTACATTGTAAAAAAACAAAAAAACTGAATGAATGGCTGGCCTACCCTTTAAAACCGGAAGATTTGGCGTGCCTATCCAGATTTCTGCTTCTCTTACACGACCATCCCCCTGGCAGCTCTGTCGACGCCCTCCTGAAGGGCTGTAGTCAGCTGCCCGTCAATCACATGGGCCTGTGACTACCCGTCCACCACCGTGCACTATGTCACCTCCCTGGCTCCCGTGGCCCCTGCTTTAGAGGCCCTGGGGACAGGTCCAAGGCCCCGCCAGTCCCGCCAAGCACAGAGCCATGGGGACAGTGGCGGGCACGCTGGGAGAGCACCAGGTGGAGTCTGGAGGCTCAGCTCAGCTCCACTGCCCCCCGCACTGCAGGGCAGGAGGCCCGAGGGAGCCTGTCGATCAGCGCCCCCATTGTGCAGATGAGGAGACTGAGGCCCTGGGAGAGGATGGGCTTGCCAAGGTCACACAGACAGCAGTCAAGGGCAGAGCCGGGGCTAGACCCAGGGCTGTTGGGAATCACTGGGCGGGTTGTGCCCTACGCAAGGGCACCTGGTGAGGGGCAGGTGGGGCCTGAAATACAGCATGCCCTCCACTCACCAGGCCAAGCGCCTGGCGTGGGCAGGGGATAACCTTTTCCACCTCGCCCGAAGGTGCCATGTGGGCGAGTGTTGGCCCTGTCTAGAGTAAGGCATCCTGCCTCCTGATCCGGGTCTCCCTCTTCCTTCTCGGGCAAACTCTCTCATTTCGCTTCCCCTCTCTGAGCCTCAGTTTACCCCTCTGTACCATGAGCCGGCTGCATCTGAGGATCCTCCGGCCTCGACATGCTTGGTCTCTCTTCCTGGGATTCCCTCCTCTCCTCACCTCCCTCCAGCCCCGACACGTGAAGCCAGGGACTCGCCACCACCCCTGCTCCCCGCAGCCGCCACTCACAGCTCCAGCGAGGTGCGGTTCTCCTGGTCGTGGATGGCGTAGAGGCCATAGCTGTTGGCACTCCCGGTGCCGACGACTATCAGGGCAGGCAGGCCTGGTGCGAGGGAAGAGGTATGGCATCACGGGGCTCCCTGGGCACGTCTCCTCCACATCCGGTCCAGCTGCCCGTCCCCTGAGCCCCGGGAGCCCCTTCTCTCTCTCCCCGAGGCTATATCCCTCTCCACACCCTCAGGGCCAGCTGTCCCCTCTGCCCGTCCGGGCGGCACCTACCCCAGCCCACCAGGCTCAGCTTCAGGAAGTAGTGCCCGAAGTAGGTGTTGAAGACCTTGATGACAAGCAGGTAGAGGTGGAAAGCTTCCAGGCCCATCCAGGTGAAGACGCAGAGCAGGAAGTAGTGCAAGATGGCACCCCGGGCCCAGCAGGCGGCATCGGACACCCTTGAGCTGCTCCCCACATTGACCAAGAAGACTAGATTCAGGAGGAACAGGCTCGCACTCAGGGACACGTGGATCTTGGGGGCATCTTCCGACTGGAACCTCTGCCGGGAAAGCCTGGGGCAAGAAATGAGAGGCCACAGCTCCCGAGGGGCACCCAGGCCTGTCCACCCCGACAGCCTGTGGCTCTCCACCCCCACTGCCAGCTCCTGCCTGAGCCTCCAGCTTCCACCCTGCCAGCAGCCAGAGCGTGAGCACCCTCAGGTTCAAGTCCAGGAGCCCCTCACGGCCCTCAGGGGTCTGCGGCCTCAGGCCTTGACTCGATGCATCCGCCAAACCGCGTAACGTGCAATCCGCTGGCTGCGTCCCGCCTCCGCGCACCTCCCGGGTTTCACCGCGCTCTTCCCTCTGCTCTCAATGCCTTTCCCTGCTCCTCCCGCCTTCTTCGCCGGACTCCTGCTCTGCCTTCAAAACCCCCCTTGGACATTTCCTTCTGGGGAGGCTGTCTCTGAATGACTCTTAGCCCGGCTGGTTTGGGAGCTTCCAGCAGTGCCGTGTTACTCTGCTCTGCCCCATCGCGTCTCTTCCACGCGGTGAACTCGGGCCTAACAGTGGCGGGGGCTGCGGAATCGCCGGCTGACGGACGGACAGATGGGTGCGAGCACAAGGCATGCACAGAGGGGTGCGTGCAGGAGGGACGCTCACGGAGTCACAGGGCAGGGCGGGGGCTCCAACCCTGGCTCTAGACTCTCTGCCCAGTGCTTTCCCCGGCTCCCCTCCCTCTCTGCGCAGCCCCCACTCTGAATTCTTAGCAAATCAGACCCGAAGGCTCTCAGCCAGGGGATGGGAACCCAGGCTGTCTGGATGGGGCATATGGGATAATGTCCCCACCACCCGAGATGCCAGGCCCCACCCTTGGGAGCTGGTGACAACTCCAAGCCCAGCTCACAGGGTCCAGCCATGCAGCCAGCTGGCAAGTCACGCTCAGCTTGTTGGGGACGGGGGCTGTGTCCTAGGGCTTGGAGGGGTGGGAGTGGGGTAGTACCACTTACACGCATGGGTTGGTCTATGATGGGGTGGGTGGGTCTCGTGGGGGCTGCAGCCCACCTCAGATGGTGACGGAGGGGAGGGGGGAGGAGGGAGGAGGGGACGGGTATATGCATACACAAAGAGTGCAATGCACACCACCCAAAGGATGGACATATTTGAAACTCGGACTTAGGCGGGGAGCGGGGGCAAGGGCAACATACGTAACCTAAACATCTGTACCCCCATAATATGCTGAAATTAAAAAAAAAAAAATGGTGACGGAGGCACAGAGACGTGGGGAGGGGACAGAGGAGAGCCCTGGACAGAGGGCAAGAGGCCCAGGGGCTGCTGGGCAAGGCGCCTCTAGGAGGCAGTGGACGGGGCAGGCTGGGGCACGGGCTGCTCCCCTGGGCTCCTTCAAGCTGGCAGGTCCTGTGGCTCCCTTATCCATGGCCTGGGCCAGGCGAGCGAGGCTGCAGTGCTCTCTGCTGTTTCTGCCCGTCGCGCACCCACTCCCCCTGCTTCTGGAAATAACCCCAAGTTTCCCAGAGTAATACCCTTCCCCACTCTCAGCCGAGACGCTCGGAGGCAGGTGGTGGTGGCTGTTGGTGCTTTGTCAGCTCAAACCCAACAGCAGGCGGGCGGCCTGGCCTGGCTGGTCAGTGTGGTCCGCCCCTCGACCACAGAGCCCCAGTCAGGCATGGCACACGGGCCGGGTTAGACCAGTAAAGGTCAGCTCTGCTGTGTGCGTGGGACAAAATTGCATAGGCCGACACACACACACACACACACACACACACACACACAAATGTATGTAAAACGTGGTGAACACTGAACAAGGTCTGCATTCCTGTCGACAGCGCTGCACCGCCGGCTTCCTGGCTTTGACACTGTCCTGCAGTTATATAAGCTTCTCCGCTGGGGAGAGCTGGGGGAGGGGACGCCAAGACTGCACTGTTGTTGCAACTTTCTATCTATAATTATTTCAAGATAAAATGTTTAAAAAAAAAAAAAAGCCTCAATTCTGGGATTGAGTTTAGAATACTTGCAAAGAGGAGACTGCTTTCATTCCTGCCTGAGCAGCTATAGAGCTGTGATGTAAGCCCAGAGCCCCCAGAGCCCCCAGAGTCCCCCGGAGGGGGAGGAGCTGCCTGATGTGACCGTCAAGGCCAAGCAAAGCTGTGAGAAGCTGAGGGAGACCAAGTCCTGGGTCCTCTTTGAGCCCCTGGATCTAACCCTGCCTGAAGTCCACATGCCTTGAGTTTTTCCCTTACACGGACCACACATTCCCTGTTATGTTTAAGCTAATTGGAGCTGGGTTTCTGCCACTTGCACCTGAAATAGCCCTGACGCACCGCAACCTCCACCTGACTTTGCAGGTGATGAGTCTGCCTGTGCAGAGGGTATCGGTGAAAGGCCACACAACCAAGGTGCTTTCTACCCTGCCCTGCCGCCTCCTTGAGGGCAGGAGGCAGATGTAGGGGAGGTGGGGGTCACTCACCTCAGGCCAATGTAGAGGGCAATGGTGAAGGCCAGGAAGATCATGGAGACTCCGCAGCCTGCCTGAGAGATGTGCTTGAGGGCCTTCGCTGTGGCCTGGTCCAAGACGGGCCTCTGTGGGCAACCCCGTACCCAGACCAGATCAGCTGGAGGCCAGGCCCATGCACCCGAAAGGCCCTGGGCTCACCAGGCCGCCCCCTTCCCGGGGCAGGAGCTGGAAGCCTCCGGGCTGCTAGGATCAGAGTGGAGTGGGCTGTTACCAGCAGCAGGGTGAAGAAGGTCAGGTGATCACAGCGGCAGACAGTCCCCTTGGCTCCGGGCTCCGTGGAGCAGCCCTTGGAAGCCCAGTCTCCAGTTGGCCCTGGAGAGGAGGCCCGGGGAACATGGAGGGGGCAGGGGAGGGGAGGGAAGGGGAGGAGAGGGGAGAGGAGGGAAGGGGAGGGGAGGGGAGGGGCCCAGCCAGTGCAACCGGCCCCACCCCTCAAGGGAGCCCATACTGTCCCCACCTATCTTACCCCAGAAAAGGTCCTCCAGGCCCTACCTTTCGTCACATCCCAGAAGACACAGGTGACAGTCATGTTCTGAAACCAGAGAGTGGGAGTCGGGAGCAGAAGCGGGGAGGTTGGGAGTGGGTTGGGGGGAGGGTCTTGGCCGTGTGTGCATTAGGTAGAAACCAAGGCTCACTCCCGTGGGTCGCACAGGAAAATCAACTGTGCGTGTGAGGGGCGTGGCTGGTGTGGGGCTGTGGGCGGCAGGTCTGTGCGAGCACGCGTGTGGCTGGAGGGGAATGCCGTGTGCATGCCGGGAGGGTTGCGGGTCCTTCTGTGCACCTCTGTGAGCAGGTGAGTGGGAGGGTATCTGGGGGCACGTGGGCACGTGTGTGCAGGGTGGGCTGTGTCTCTGGGCACAACTGTGTGTATGGCCCTCCTCCTGGGTGCATGTGGAAGGGGAGGGGACAGACGTGCGGTCCCTTCCCTGCGTGCTCAGAGCTCACACGCCTGGGTGTGCCCACGCGCCTGTCTGCCCCACGGTGACTGCCAGTGACTCACAGGGGGCAGACGCTGGTGGGAGAAGGTGATCTCCAAAGGCTCGGCCAGCCTGGTGACGGGTGTCTGGCCCACACTCAAGCCCACCAGGTGATTGTTCAACACGCTGCTGCCATCCTCCTGGCTGAGCCGGGGACCCTGTGAGGGGAGATGGGGGAGGCCAGGCTGCAGAAGGGGCTGTCCCAACCCAACCCTGGCCAGGGGCTTGAGCCCAGGGCACCAGGGACCCCTTAGGCCATAGCAACCTTCTCCCTGCTGCTCCCTGCAGTATCCTGCCCCAGCTGCGCCCCGCCAGGCCTGTGCTCCAGGCCACCTGGCCACAAAGCTGGGCACCTGACAGCTCTCCACTGCCGGCCCCGGAGTTCCTGCCCTCTTAACCAGAGAGGCGCAGGCCGGGGTTGTCCAAGCAATGGAGGACAGTGGGTGCCTAGGGGGCGGTGCACGCACCTGCACTCAGAGGTGCACGCACCTGGGACACACCTTTGCAAGAGCATGGGTGCACTTGCCCGTGTGGACATGGTTGCACCTGAGCAGACGGGATTGCGCACAGGAACAGAAAAGGACATGCGTGTTTGTGCATGCACAAGGACACGTGAAGGTACATGAACACACTTGGGACACATGTAGAAGCCAAAGAATACTGGCGTGTGGGGTGCCAAACACCTGAGTGTGTGTGTGACCAGCCTGAGCCTGCAGCCCGCAGCCCCAGAGAGAAGGGTCCTGGATGACCTTGGCTGCTTTGGAAACACTCAAGAGGCTCACCACCTCCTCCGTCCCCATCGGGTCCCCCAGCAGTCTCCAGTGAGCTCAAGCTGGGGCAGGGGACCCCGGAGCACCTAGCACCTCATCTTGGAGCTTCCCCGCGTCCCCATTAGGCCTCTCCTCACCTTGAAGATATTGCCCGGACCGATGTCCAGAACAGTGACAGCCAACCGGACCACGGCCCTGTTGCCTGGCAGTGCTCCGAAAAGGCTCTTGGGAAGTCGGACTCTGTCAGGGGGCTTGTCCTCATCCTTCGCCACCTGCCTCGGAATCTGCAACCACACACCCGACAGCCCCCGTCTTTACCCGGCCCCCAGTGCAGGTCCTGCCGCTCCCCCAGCTGGGAGGGGAAACTGAGGCACGCCGGGTAGAGGAGCAGCTCTGGGAGGCAGGATGCCCGGGTCACAGCGCAAGCTCTGCTGGGGGCCCCTGGGCAAGTTATGACCCCTGTGGAGGACGGAGCTGCCCCTGCACCCGCTCGGGCACCTGCCAGGCTGACGGGCTGTGAAGAGGCGACACTTGGGCGGACAGTGAGGACAGTGGGCCGTCGCGTGCTTCTGGCCAGGGTCCTCACCGCCCCTGTGTTTACGCAGGGCTTGGTGGGGACAGCGTCTGGCTTCTGACTCAGGAATAAGCGGAAAGAATAAAGCCACCAGGAAGGAAGTCCAGGAAGGGAGAGAACAAGGGCAGAGACGGAGGACACACGAATTCGCGGCGAATGTGAAAGCCTCCCCACCCAACAACAACAGCGACGAATTTTTTAAAAACTAACGGTGGTCAAAATATTGCACCAAATTCCAGCGGTCGCGGTAAAGCATGTTCTGTTCATTCCCTGACGTCCCTGTTCCCCGGGGCTGCAGCCTGCCCCGCCCCGCTGGGCTCCGAAGCCCCCAGGTGCATTGAACACGTGGAGCTAAGAGCCGGAGCTCACGGCCCCAACCTTCTCCTTCCCTGTCCAGACCCTTGTCACAAGGACATGTGGGTGATTTCTGGGGCCAGAGGGTACCCCGCGCAGAGGGCTCGGCTGCTTAAGTGACATAATAACGGGCTGAGAAAGCGTGAAAGGCCCTACCTATCTTCCCTTCTCCAGACAGACCTAAAGGCACCTCGCTGATGCCCAACCCGCCTTGCTGCCCCAACGGCCAGCATCTGTGTCCTTCCTTAAGGGAGGCTGGAGGCTGCTACGGAGACCTCATCCCAACGAGCGTTCCCTGCGCGTGTTCTCATTTGCTCTTCCCCTCGGTCTTGAAAATGGGCAGTACCTTCGTCCTTTTACAGATGGGGAAACCGAGGCTCAGAGGACCAATTTGCCCACGATCATGACGGCTGGTAAGGGGCAGAGTCGGGATTCGAATCCAGACCAGTGGGAATCCAGACTCAGCCCGCTGAGCCCCGTGGCTGCCAAGTGTGCCCCTTCCCTGCTTTCCAGCGTGTTCCCTGGGTGGACGAGCTCGTGGGAATTGCAGACTTGCATAAACTGAGCTCACTTTACAGCTGAGGACTCTGGGGCCCAGAGAGGGAAAGGGATCTCCGGAGGACATCTAGCGACGTGGTGGCCAGTCCGGGTCCAGAACCCAGGTCCTCCAAACGTCCATCCTAAGCACCCTGGATAGTCTAATGCCAGGATCCACTCGCCCGGTTAACTTGCGAGCGCCCGCTAGCAAGGTGGCAGAGGTAAGCCCAATGGGACGGGGCAGGGTCAGCTTTGATGGACACCAAGCGCAGGACTTGACCCCCTTAGAATTTTGAAATATGGGCCCAAGGAAAACAGGGTCCGAACCAGCCGATAGGGATGGGAGTGCGCGTCACCTGAGCAGGCTGCAGAGAGAAGACTAGGTCTTCCGGGGTATCGGTTCTGAAGTTCCGGACCAAAGCCTTCATGAAAGACATGTTCACTGTCTCCGACACACTGTTCTCCACCAGGTGGGTCTCGTAGTTCAGCCAGTATCTGCAGGGAGCCGGGGAACGGGGGAGGGGAGGGGAGGGTCTTGGAGGCTGAGTTATTCATTCCTCAGGCTCTTGGGGTGAGAGGGCAGACCGGAGTATCAAATTAAAGACCCTGAGGTCACTCAGTGCGGCTTGAGAGAAATCCAGGCTCGTCCTGAGGGGTTCCAGCCAAGGGTCCCTTTGAGCATTCTATGTGCTTGTCTTTTTTTGCCTTAAAATGCACATAACATAAAATTTACCATTTTAACCATTTTTAAATGTACAATTCAATGGCATCAAGTACATTCACAGTGTTGTGCAACCATCACCGCCGCCTGGTTCCGGAACGTTTTCGTCACTCCAAAAGGAAACCCCAGACCCAATAAGCAGTCACTCCCTTCCTCCTCCCCCAGCCCCCGGCGACCACTGATCTGCTTTCCGTCCCTGCGATTTTGCGTGTCCTGGGTAGTTCCTACGGGTGGAGTCACACCGTATGAGGCCTTTGTGTCTGGTTTCTTTGACTCGGCACAATGTTTTCAAGGCTCATTTAGGCTGTAGCATGTGTTAGCATTTCATTTCTTTTTAAGAATGGATATTATTTCACTACATGGATACACCATATTTTGGTTACTCATTCATCCATTGATGGACATTTGGGTCTTTTCCATTTTTTGGCTATTGTGAAAAGTGCTGCTATGAATATTCATGCCCAAGCTTTTGTTTGAAGACTTGTTTTAAATTCTTTTGAGTATATA